CATGATTGCCTTGTGACAGGAGCACAGACTGGAGCACAGAACGAAGCACATCGCTATGTGATACTTCCTTGCTCGAGAGTTGCAGCAGCGTGGCCAGCTTCGTCTTGTGTACGTGGCCACTAGGGCTAACACTGCTGATATATCATCAGCGTTTCTCTACTGTGTTAGGCCTTGTGCCTACTTTGCCTCACTTGCTCAATGCGTGACTTCGTTTGTACTGTGATCTATATATATTCATGCATGCTTACACTTGCTAGGTTATGATCACTATATTGTTTGTTCTCTTTTATATAACTCTACATGTGAACTGGCCTTGTGGCCCTTTGCTTGTGCTCGGACAGTGTGGTGACTTTGTGATCCACCCTGAGCTTGCTTTGCTTTTCTTGACTGGTCTTGTGACCACTTGTTCTCCCCCACTTTGCCTATGGGGGTGTGTCAGAATGTTATAGTGCTTACAATTGTGTAGGCTATAATGGGGTGGCCCATAAGGGGTACAACCCAATTAGGGTTAGTACTTGTACCCAACTTCTGTTCAATGCATTCATTCTCGTTCGCTATTCTGACATGCGCACCTTGCGTCGTCGGCCGCTTGCGAGCCACTCCGCACTCCTCCTCCCTTCGTCCGGCTTTTTTTTTTTTGACTCTCCACTTGGACGTCTGGGGCCCTGCCCCGACGTAGGGATCTGGGAGGGAGCGCTACATTCTGGTGGTCGTCGACGACTACTCCAGGTACACCACAGTGTTTCCTCTCGCGAAGAAGTCCGAGGTGACTGCTACGCTGATCTGGTGGCTTCTGGCCACTGAGGGCACTCGTGGTAGTCGTGTCAGTTCTACGCGGTGTGCTATGCCGCCCACCAGCTGAACCTCCAGCCGCGTGTCTCGCGGCCAGAGGCTTCACCGACCAGTCTTTGGATCGGGTCCCCTGGTGTTGGGTCGGTCTTTTGTGTCTGGGGCTGCCTTGCACTTGTCCACGATACCTCTGTGGACAAGATCTCGGCTCGCGCCATCCCCTGTGTCTTCCTTGGTATCCCGGTGGGTTCTCCTGACTACTCCTTTTAGCACCCGCCCCTCCACCAGTTTCTCGACTCTCGTGACGTCCATTTTGACGAGTCAGTGTCCTAGAACACCAGGTACCCCTGTCGAGGTCTCTTGGTCCCCCCTCCTCCTCTTTTCCTCGCACCCTCCTCTTTTCCTCGCACCCTCTCCTCCTCCTGCTCCCGCTCCTCAGGTCCCCCCGCCCCACCCTGGTCTTGCCCCGTCATGTGTGTCTCACGCTACCCCTCTCCCCTCGGTCGCGCGTCAGGTAGCGTCTCCCTCCCCGCAGTCCTCCTCACAGTCCCCTCAGCAGCCTTCGGCACTTCCGCGACAGGTTACTGTGGACTCAGGTGGTGTTGGAGCTGGAGGTGCTGCCGCTGGAGGTACTTGGGCTGAGGGCGCTTGTTCGAGAGGTGTTGGAGCTGGAGGTGCTGGCACTCGAGGTGCTAGCCTCGGGGGTGTTGGAGCTGGCGGTCCTGGCACTGGAGGTGCTAGCTCTGGGGGTGTTGGAGCTGGAGGTGCTGGCACTGGAGGTGCTAGCTCTGGGGGTGTTGGAGCTGGAGGTGCTGGAATTGGAGGTGCTAGCTCTGGGGGTGTTGGAGGTGGAGGTACTGGCGCTGGCGGTGCTCGTACTGGGGACGATTGAGCCGAGGGTGCCGACGCTGGAGGTAGTGGCAGTGAGGACATGGGAGCTGGCGGCTCGCCCCCAGCCCGCTACTACACATGTCTCCAGGCTCTTAGCCGTCTTGAGCGCGAGGAGCAGGAGCGTTTGGAGCTGGAGAGGCAGCAGCTGCGACAGCTGGACCGGTAGGAGGAGCAGGCGCAGCAGCAGTAGCCACTGCAGAAGCAGAAGCAACAGCAGCAGCAGCAACAACAGCAGCAGCAACCGCAGCAGCAGTAGCCACCGCAGCTCGTGGTCACACCAGTGAGTGGCCTTTGGGCCCTTGGTCTTCCCTCCCCTCCTCTTGTCCACCCGCAGCCACTACCCACTTACGGTCCTACGTTTCCTCCTCCGGACTCGACTCAAGCTGTTTTCCCTCCTCCTCAGTCACAGTCACCTCCTCCCGTTATCCCGCACGACTGGACCGCTTGTTGTCCCCCGCGTGCTCGTCCCTCGTCTCCTCTTGCCGACCTCCGCACTGCCTTGTTTCGTTCCAGTCCTCGTCGTACTCCACCAGAGTATGTTCTCCCGTCACCTCCTGCGTCGTCTCTCACTGTCTCCTCTCACCCTATCACTGACTACTACCGTACGGCATGTCCTGTTGTCTCGCGTATTCTTGCCTCTCTTGTCACCGACCCTCGTGCCTCTCCATCGTCTGTCTCCGCTCTCACAGCCGCTGTCACTGACTTTGCGACCACCTGCCGCCTTGACTTTGCCACGCATGTCATGGCTGCCCCGCCTGCCCATCCTGAGGCCGCTGGGGGTGGGTTTGCCCTTGGCTATGACGTCCTCGAGGACAGGCAGTTTGAGCTGGAGTTACTGGCAGCCGCTTCCCCCGCTCTCTGTGCCATGCTGCTTTCCCCTGAGGGAGACCCCGACGCCCTTGACATACCGACTCCTTGCACGTACCGTGAGGCAGTGTCAGGGGAGTGGGCCTCTCAGTGGAAAGCGGCCATGGACTCAGAGTTGGCTTCTTGGAGATCCACAGGCACCTACGTTGACGCAGTTCCCCCTCCCAGGGCGAACGTTGTCGATGGCATGTGGCTCTTCAATGTGAAACGGCCGCCTGGATCACTGCCTGTGTTCAAGACATGTTACGTGGCTAGGGGCTTCAGTCAGCGTGAGGGAGTTGACTTCTTCCAGACCTTCGCCCCGACCCTAAAGATGACTACTCTTCGGGTGTTACTCCACGTAGCAGCACAGCGAGACTACGAGCTACACTCTCTTGACTTCTCCACTGCTTTTCTCTAGGGCCGCTTACACGAGGAGATCTGGTTGCGCCGTCCTCCTGGTTTCACTGACACCTTCCCACCTGGGACTCAGTGGAGCTTGAGGCGGCCAGTCTACGGTCTCCGCCAGTCGCCCCGTGAGTGGCACGACACTATGCGCTCCACGCTTCGTGACCTAGGGTTTCGTCCCTCCTCTGCTGACCCGTCACTGTTTGTTCGCACTGGCTCCACTCCCTTTTTTATCCTGGTCTACGTCGACGACCTGGTGTTTGCTACAGCTGATAAGGCAGCACTGGCGGAGGTGAAATCCGAACTGCAGAAGAGACACACGTGCACTGACCTCGGTGAGCTGCAGCGCTACCTTGGCCTGCAGATCACCAGGGACAGAGCCGCTCGCACCATCACACTGAATCAGTCACACATGGTGTAGCAGGTCCTTCGGCAGTTCGGGTTTCAGTTCTCCACCACACAGCCCACTCCTCTTGTCATTGACCGCCGTCTCACTGGCCCTTTTCTCGATGAGCTCTTTGAGTCTAGTGGTCCCTACGCAGAGCTTGTGGGCTGCCTCATGTACCTGATGACTTGTACTCGGCCGGACCTCGCCTTTCCCCTCAGCGTCCTCTCTCGCTTTGTTGCGACTGGGAGACACCGTCCTGTTCACTGGACAGCTGCTGTGAGGGTGGCGAAGTACCTGGCGACTACATCAGGCATGAGGCTTGTGCTTGGAGGGACACAGCCAGTTGAGTTGACCGGTCACTGCGACTCTTCCTACGCTGACGACGCTGAGACCCAGCGTTCGACTCAGGGTTACTGTTTCAGTCTGGGTGCTGGTGCCGTGTCGTGGAGGTCCACACGGTCATCGTCTGTGGCTTCGTCCAGTGCAGAGGCAAAGTTCTACGCTGGTGCCATGGCGGCACAGGAGCTTCGCTGGTTGACCTTCTTGCTCGCCGACCTTGGCGAGCGGCCTCGCTCTGCGCCGACCTTGTACGCTGACAACAAGGCCATGACCCTCCTATGTCAAGAGCCTCGACTGGAGAGAAGAGTGAAGCATATTGACGTGAGGTACTTTCTCCTGCGAGAGCTACAGCGACGCGGCGAGGCACGCTTGGACTTTGTGGCCTCAGAGGCCAACACTGCTGACGTCTTCACCAAGGCCTTGGCGCTTGGTGACCACCACAGGTTTTGCGTGCAGCTAGGGTTTGTTGAGGTAGGCCCTCGCTTGCTGTAGTGTTACTCTTATTGCTTGTTCTGTTTGTCATTGCCCTTATATATATTGTACTCTCTTGAACTGGCCTTGTGGGCGCTTGCTTGTGCTCGGAATTTGTGTGGTGTCCTTGAGATCCACCCTGAGCTTGCTTCGCTTCTTGTCTTGACTGGTCTTGTGACCGTTTGTTCACCCTGCTTGCTTAGATGCCCCTCATTTAGCCTATGGGGGTGTGTCAAATGCTATTATTTGTTGTAGGCTGTAGTGAGGTGCCATCTAGAGGGGATAACCCACTTAGGGTTTCTATTTGTATCCAACTGCTGCCTAGTTCATTCATTCCGTTGCATTCACTTTCTGAGACATGTCTACCGTATTTCTTTCAAAGCCCATCTGTGTCAAATCCCTACTACTGTGGCTAATGCCGTGCCAGCTACTCTAGCTACTATCGTCTTAATTGACAATGTGACAACGGCTGCTGCACAGGTGTTCCTACGGTCCTAACCTGTCCTGGCTGGGACAAAGGCCAATCCCACTGCCAGGCTGCTACTCTCTGCCTGACACTTCTCCCCTGTGTAACTTGTTTTCTTGCTACCACCTATTGTTGTGTTACGGTATAATCCATGCAATTTGCAATTTCTGCACATGTTGCATCTACCAGTAAGGAAGTGGAGACAGCTTTGCAGGCAGGGAGCATACACTTGTTATGGGATGAGCTGGACTTGTGGCGTCATGGTTCCTGTACAGTCATCTCCCATTGCTTTAGTTCCTAAACCTGGAGCATTTTCATTAGCTATTGCTCCTGTGCTGGCATCCTTATGAGCACTCTCATTAAGCTTGTATGAAGGTGACCCGTTGCTCGCTCCTGCTGCCTCTACTGCCTCTCGTTCGGCTGGTAGGGCGCATGGGGTTTTGACACAAAGGAGGCGAGCTGTATGTCTTAAAACCTTAGCAGAGGGGAATTGAGAAAAATACAACATATTCAAACAGCGGGCGATCAGGAGTGCAGCTGAATAGAAAAAGGATGCATACATGAACAGAACGAATAAAGCGAAGAGAATGTGGACAAGAATGAGGGAGAGGAAGTGGAACAGGCAGAGAAGAGGAAGAGGGGAGGGATAGGGGGAGAAATTGGAGGGAGAGGAAGTGGAAGAGGGAGAGGGAGAGGGAGAGGGAGAGGAAGACGGAGAGGGAGAGGGAGATGGAGAGGAGAGAGAAAGGGAGAGGGAGAGGGAGAGGGAGAGGGAGAGGGAGAGGGAGAGGGAGAGGGAGAGGGAGAGGGAGAGGGAAAGGGAGAGGGAGTGGGAGTGGGAGAAGGGGAGGGAAAAAGAGAGTGGTTCGAACGCACCTTTAAGAATCTTGTGCAGAGTGTGAGCAAGGGCTTCAAATGGCGGGCGTGTAACAGGATTTGCATCAACACATGCGGCAGCAAGGCGCAAGACAGAAAGGAAAGACGGAACACGATGGGCAGCAAGCGGAGCAGCAGCAGCCGCAGCAGCAGCAGGAGGAGGAGGAGTAGCAGTAGCAGAAGAAGTAGCAGTTGCAACAGGATCAGCAGCAGGAGCAGAAGCAGCAACAGCAGGCGGAGGGGGGGAGCAGGTTGTCTGTGACAGCGAGTCGAGGAAAAAGGGATCCACTAGGTCCTGCCATTGCCGCTTCTTCATAGCACCTTGGGCCTGGCCATGGCATTGGGAGCACAAAGGCGGAGGCCACGAGGACGAATGGCAACAAGTGTGGAAGGAGGAAGGACAGAGTATTACTGCTTGCACATACATGCACTCTGAACTTTGAATCGAATTCAAAATTTGAAGGGCATGGTAGATTCCATGTTAGTCTGAATTTTACGGTCCAGAAAACGGAGGCACTGGCTGGCAGGTTATGTGTGCACGGGGGGTACCATACCAAATGTGAGCTTGCATGAGCGTCAATGAGCACACGAGTATGTGTGCTAAAGGGATGGATTGGATGTCGTACTCATTCACACGTTTCAGGGGCCAGCAGCACTTCCGTAATCCGTTTGTCCGTCCATCCCTCCACCCAACCACCCACTAACCACCCACCCACCCGCCCACCCACCCACCCACCCACCATACATACATCCACACACACTCACCCAGTGCACTAGTGTGCAGATGCCCTCAACCACTGGCGGCCGCCCGGATAGCACCTCCAAAAGCACCACTCCGAAGCTGTGTGCGTGCAGACATGGTAATATAAGTGTTATTTCCGGGGAAGCAAAGGGATGAAGAGAAAGCGAAGGGGTGGAGAGGAAGGGTTACTGGAAATGGAGAGCGTGGATGTGGGTGTGTTTGGAAGAGGTATGGGGCAGGGAGTGAACAGGGGTATGGAAGAGCAGAGAGAGGAAAAGATCGTGCACACACACACACGCACAAGCTTGCGCATGCTGCTGCCAATATTTCACATGCAGGCATCCAACGCAAAAAGAAGAAGAAGGAGAACAAAAACTGCTTTGTTCTAATCCGAAGCAGAAATATTTTGAGGAATCTGGAGAGTAATAGCAGGTATGGCAAGGTTTTCACCTGTAGACATCCGAAGCAGCACTGGCCTCCCCTCGCAGCAGCTCTGGTGCTGTGTATACGTCACCGCACGCGCCATGAGCAGCAGCCGCCGCAGCCGCCGCGGCAGTAACAGAAGCAGCAGTGGCGCCATAGCATAGCAACGTGCAGCCGAAATCAGCGAGCTTGGCGTCAAAGGTGTCTGTGAGGAGAATGTTGGAGGACCTTATGTTGCCATGCAGTACCTGCTGTGCCACCAGCCATGGCGCACGACATGGGCAGCGATGGGGGCATTGATGGGGCATGGGCAGAGGTGGGGCATGGACAGAGGTGGGGCATGGACAGAGGTGGGGCATGGACAGAGGTGGGGCATGGACAGAGGTGGGGCATGGACAGAGGTGGGGCATGGACAGAGGTGGGGCATGGACAGAGGTGGGGCATGGACAGATAGCGGTGGGGAGTGGAAGGAAGGGGTGTGTGAGAAAACGTGCATCCACTGGAGAAAGGCGTCTGAGAAAGTGTGATGTAGGAGGAGGAACTAGTTCCAGTGGTCAGGCCACCACTGGCAACGCAACGGCGTTCTCAATCCATGATTTGTTTTGCAAACGGGAGCACCGCACCACAGCAGGGCAAAGGCTGTGTGTGTGCGTGTGTGTGCGTGTGTGCGCGTGTGTGTGCGTGTACGGTACCTGTGGCCTCTGGGAGTGAAGGTGGCGCATTGCCCTTGCTGTGCCCAGCGCTACCCTGAGACGCTGCTCCCATGACAGGCGCTGTGGATTCATCCGTGCATGCATTTGTGCGGGCATCTGTGCATGACCTGTGGTGCAGCAGACACAGGGAGATAAGAAGATGGACGGACGGGAAGTGAGAGAAAGAGAATTACGATGGGCTGGTCAGCTTCGAATCATAACTCGCTGGGTGGCCGGAGGAAGGATGAAAGGGGAGGAGTTGGATGCAGGCAGGAGGCACAGACTGGATGGAAGAAGTGAATTTATTCAGTGATCTAACAGGGAGCCCACCATCAGAGCACCTTCCAACATCATGCGACACCCACGCCCCGTGCGACACCCACGCCCCGTGCGACACCCACGCCCCGTGCAACACCCACGCCCCGTGCAACACCCACGCCCCGTGCAACACCCACGCCCCGTGCAACACCCAGGCACCGCACTGCAGAGCGTCCCACCGTGCAAGTGGTCGTGCAGGGAGCCGTGCGGCAGGTAGTGGCGCACTAGAATGCGCTTGGAAAGCGTCACACAGCACCCCAGCACCCTCACCTGCCACCGCGGAGGGATGGGAGCGGGGATAGAGGAGAGAGGGGCGAGGGGAAGGGGGAGTCTACTTTTGAGGCGCCTCAAAGAGAACAGAGCGGCAGGTAGTGGCGCACTAGAATGCGCTTGGAAGGCGTCACACAGCACCCCAGCACCCTCACCTGCCACCGCAGGGGCATGGGGAGCGGGGAGAGGGGCGCGGAGAGGGGAGAGGAGCGGCGAGAGGAGAGGCAAGAGAGGTGCGAGCCTAGAGAGGAGAAAGCAGAAAAGACAAGAGACAGGGGGTCAGAATATTCAGAACTCTGTAAGCGCAATTGGGGGGGGGGAGCATGCAGCTCGAACTGTGAAAGCAGCAGAGAAGATCAGGCCAGAGTGATCAGTGCTGTTAATTCTCATCTCAGCCGTCCCTTTCATGGTGGTATATGCAGGTGCAGCCGCAGCAGCCACAGCAGAAAAGGCGGCGGCTGCAGACAAGGAAGCAAGACCATGTCACGGCACAAGTGGGTGCGGCAGGGACAAGTAGAAAGTGCGTTGCACCCAGGGAACCATTGGAGGCAAGCGATGCCCTACCAACCAGCCAACCAGACCCACCAGATTTCTGTGCTCCAGCCTTGCCAGTTTCTCCACCTCCCACTTGAACCCTGCATCCGTGTCCACAGCAGGAGGAGCAGCGCCAGCAGCACTGTCACAACCACCGCCAGTGGCACCATCAGCACCGCCAGAAGCAACAGCAGTAGAAGAAGCAGCGGCAGCGGCAGCAGCAGCAGCAGCAGCAGTGGTTCTGTCGGTGCGGCGCAACACCTTAACAGCCACCTGGCGGCGAGGCTGCAGGGGCAGCACGCCCCGGTACACCCGCCCACACGCTCCCTCGCCCAGCAGATTGGCCGCGTCAAAAGAGCCGGTGGCCAGCTGGGCAGGGGGATGATGAGCAAGCGGGGGGGCAAGGGTGATGAGAGGGAAGAGATAGCAGAGGCAGCACGCCCCGGTACACCCGCCCACACGCTCCCTCACCCAGCAGATTGGCCGCGTCAAAAGAGCCCGTGGCCAGCTGGGCAGGGGGAGGGCCGTGGGCGAGGGAAGGGTGCCAGGGAGGATGGGCAGGAGGGGATGGGCGATGGGTGTAGGGAATGAGCAGGGGGGAGCAATGGTGGTGCGAGGGAAGAGGGAGCATGGCGCGAATGGGACACGTTTGAGAATTCTTAAATGCTGCACATAATCGGATGGCAGCAGGCATGTCATGGCATGGCATGGCATTGGCAGCATACCTGCAGCTCGACCAGCTGGAATTGCATGTGGTGCGGCTGGCTTGTGTGCTCCAGATCAAGATTCTTGGGCATGGACACGGACCTGCAGGGGCAGGGAGTGGAGGGCGGAAGAGTCTAGTTTTGAGGCGCCTCAAAATTGCATGTGGTAAGGATGGCTTCTGTGCTCCAGATAAAGATTCTTGGGCATGGACACAGACCTGGAGGGTGAGGGAGCGAAGGAAGAGGGAGAAGGGAGTGGGTAGGTGAAAAGGGGGAGGGGGGATGGAGAGAGCAAGCAATTAAGATTCAGAAACAGGGCTGGTGTAACAGAGCAAGTTCCTGACTCAGAATTTACCAACCTCAGTAGTTACCTGCCTCAGAAACAACTTGCCTCAGAAGTTACCTGCATCAGAAGTAACCTCGCTCAGAGCTACCTGCTGATGGAGGAAAGGATGGTGCCGGCGAGGGAGCGTGCGTTGGGGGCAGGGCGCTTGGAGGAGTGGGAGTGGGTGGAGGAGGTGGAGGAGGACGAGGGGAAGGCCAGTGCTGCTGCTGACCCGTCCACAGCGCACGGCAGGGGCTTTGGGGGCTTCCTGCGAATAGTGCCAAGGGTGTCTGGGGAGGAGCAAGGGGAAGGAGGTGGGGAAGGCGGAGGAGAAGGAGGGAGGTGGTGAGGAGGGAGTGGGGAGGGGAAGGTGGTAGAAGCAGATGGGGTGAGGGAAGTGGGGTGCTAGAGGAAAGTGGTAGGAAATCTTTCGGGGCCAGTCATTCGGGGCTGAACAATGGCCCACACCATTATGGGAAAACCAGTATCGTTCGTAAACTCATAGTAGGCTTGCAGCGTTTTGAAACCAATTGATTTCACCAGTGTGGGACCAGAAATGGCGCGAGGGGCAGCAATAGGGCAAGTTAAGCATGTAGCATTTCTGACATTGATAGGGAAAGTCTCATCTCTCTCCACTCCATTCAACCACTTCACCAATCCACCAACAACATAGAACCAGGCACACAAACACCACCAACTCACTGCTTTTCAGGAGCGCTCCAAACACCATTCTCGGCCCGCCGCGGCCTTCCTTCCCCTTGCTTTCCTCCCCGTTGCTGCCATCTCCCCCCGTGCCCTCCTCACTCCGCTGGCGCAACCCCCCTTCTGCTGCCAGCATAGCTTTCTCGCCCTCCTGTTGCTGCACCCGCCGCCACCTCTCAACCGCTCGCCGCCTCAATGTGTCCTGCCGCAAAGAATTCTCCCCACTGCCCTCCCCACTGCCCTCCCCACTGCCCTCCCCACCGCTCTCCCCACTGCTCCCCCCACAACTCCCCTCCTCACCACTCTCCCTTCTAATGACCTTTCCACTCCACTCTCCACCGATCTCCCCCCCACGGCCAATACCATCGCACTGACCCACCTCATGACTGCAAGCACCATTGCTGGGCACACCATCACCTGCACCATCACCTGCACCATCACCTGCACCATCACCTGCACCATCACCTGCACCATCACCTGCACCATCACCTGCACCATCACCCACACCATCACCCGCATTACCGCACACCATGCTAGCATGCATGGGGTCACAGATAATCTCATCTACCCCAGCGTCACGACCTCCTCCCGTCGTTCCCCCCCCCCCCTCCCGTCCCTTCCCCTTGTACATCCTCTTCAACCTCCTCCTCTGCTCCCACCTCACCCTGCTCCTCCTCCTCCTCATCAGACCAATCATCCTCACCTTCTTCCCCACACTCCTCCTCCTCCCGCTCTTCGCTCTCCTCCCCATCCTCTCTCCTGAAGAAAATCACCTCGACCTCATTCCCATCCCCATCTGTCCCCTCACTAGACCCATCCGACTGCTGCCAAGCCAGCACACCCGCACCAGCACCACCATCCCCATCCTTCCTCGCTCCAAATCCATCTCCCACCTCCTCCTTGCCACCCTGTTGGTCCTCCCACGTATCATTCACCACCGTGCTCTCCTGTCCCTGCTCTCCTCTCTTCTCCCGGTCCTCTGTTGCTACAACTTGGAGTGCATCATCACCATCTTCTGCACTTGCACACACACTATCTTTCTCACCCCTTATTGCTCCTCCCATGCCCTTCCCTCCCCCCAATTCTTCCCTCTCTTGTACCTCGCTCTCCTCGTCCTCCTCCTTCTCTTCTTTTTCCTTCTTCTCCTTGTCCTTCTCATTCTCCTCATTCTTCTCCTCCTCCTTCACCTCCTCCCTGTCCTCCTCATCATCACTCCTCACCAGCTCCCTTCCTCCTATCCCTTTCACCACATTCTTCCCCACACGCACCCCAACACTCTTCCCCACCACACTCGCGCTCCCCCCACTCGCCTCTCCTACACTCTCCCTTGCACTCTTCTCCACTCTACCCACTACCATCTCCTTCCCCACCTCCAGCAAAATCACCAACTCCTCCTCTCCACCCCCACTCCCTCCACCACACTTCACATTCCGCTCCTCCTGTTTCACTCCTCCACGCTCACCCGCTTCTCTCAGCCGCCTCCTCTCCTCCACCACAGCCAGCCACTGCTCCCTGGTTACTTTCGGCGCTGCTGCCTGTTGCCCTTGCCCCTCCTTTACAGCCCTTCCTATCTCGTCAGTTTCGATCCTCTCCTCTTCTCCCTCCGCCCCTTCCTTCTCCTCTATCTCCTCCTCCTTCTCTTCCTTCTCCTCCATCTCCTCCTCCTCCTCCTCCTCCTCCTCTGTAATGTCCTCTTCTTCGTCCTCATACCCCTCACTACCTTCACTTCCTGTAACCACATCAAACTCTTCCCCTTCCAATTCCTCCTCCTCCTCCTCATCCTCATACTCGTTATAATCATCATCACAAACCCCATAGTCCTCTTCATCCTGGGTCTCACTGCGAGGGAACGACCACCGATCACCGGAGCTCATTTCCTTAAACTGCACCCTCCGTCTCCTCCCCACACGCTCCCCATCCCCATCACCATTCCCATCCTGCGTTCCCATCCCTCCATTGCCCTCTGCCCCTCGTCTTTCCATACTCTTCCTGCGAGACCCCTTCGCACTCTCCTTTTCACTCTCCTTTTCACTCTCCTTCCCACTCTCAAGCCCACTCCCATTCTCGCTCTCGTTCCCACTCTCGTCTTCGTCCCTCTCCTTGTTCCCACGACTACCCCTCTGCACCCTTCCCCCGTCCCTTCTACCATCCAAACCCTCCTCGCTTCCACCTCCCTCCTCCCTTACACCTCCCTTCTCACTCTCCCCCGTGCCTGCACTGTCATCGCCACCCTCCCCTTCCTCCGCATCCTCCCCAACCGCCTTCAACCGTCCCACCAGTCCCCTCCTCCGCCCACTCCCACTCCCAACCACCCTCCCCCCCACACTCCCATCCTCTCTCTCCAAACTGCAACTCCTCCCCTCCCCCTCCCCCTCGCCTCTCCGCCCACCACCCCCTATCCCCCCACCGCCTCTCCCTCTCCGGTCAAGGCTCCACCCTCGCTCCAGGCTCCCAACCCGCCCTCCTTTCGCCCCAATGCCTCGCTCATCATCATCCCCTTCCTCAGGCACGAATGGCTTGCCTAGCAGTACAGACAGAGCCAGTTTCTTGTCCACTTTTGGCCCTCCGTCCATTCGAGAAGGGTCCCATTCTCGCGCCTTGGCCCATCCGATCACCATGTCCTTCTCTTTCTTCCCCACCCGCTTCTTCTCACCCGCTCCCTGTCGTCTTTCCCACCCGCTTCCCGCTCCTGCTGCTCCTTCCGCTCTTAGACCGCGACAAGAGTCCCTCCTTTCACTAGTCCCACCCCTACTGCTGTTCCCCTCCCTGTCCCCGTCCCCGTTTCTGGTTCTGCTTCTGCGACTGCTTCTTCTATCCCCTGCAATCGGAGCACCTTTTGCCACATCAGTAGCACCATCATCGCTGCTATAACTGCAACTATCACTTTCACCAAATCCCTCCGAATCATCACAACTGCCGCCCCTATCCTCCCCATTCCCTCTCTCTCGTCCCATATCACCCCTGGTCCTCCCATCCCCCACGTCCTCCTCCTCCCCCTCACCACCAAGTCTCCTTCCACGCCCCACCTCTCGCCCACTCTTCTGACCCTTCTCCCCCATGCTGGCGCCCACCACACGCACCACGCCTCCCTCTCCTATCTCAACACACAGCAGCTGCCCTCCTCTGCCTCCAAAAGGGCTCTGTCTCCCCGAACCAAACGACGCCCCTGGGGAAACACCCGGGGACGCACGGAACGAATCGCGTGGCGACACACCCAGTGACCCCACCGGCGATGCACAGCTAAAGGAAGGAAACTCCAGCTCTTGCTGTTGTCTCGCCTCCCCATCTACCCTCCTCCCTCCCCTCCCTCCCCTTGCTCCCCTCCCTGCATTCCCCCTTGCACTCAGGCCTGGGGGACCAGGCACTGGAGCATCATTCAGGGCGGCTTTGGGGGCAGACACAGAACGGCCTATAGATCTCCTGTGCTGACTCGCCCAACCCTCTCTACCCTCTCTCTCTGCTGCTACGCTCTTCCTACTCTCCTCCTCAGCGCCCCACTCTCCCTCCTCCTCGATTCTCTCTCCTGGTGACCGCGTCCCCGGTCGTCTCGGGTATGGGGAAAGCCCGTCATAAGGACCTTCCGTGAGAGAAGGACTGAGGGGGACCAATGGTGCTGGCATAGGGACGGCGTCTAGGGTTCCCTTAGGGACAGATGCCACTCTCCTATTGGCTAGTAGTTGCCGGCCTGCCTGTAGGATTTGGCTTAGGGAGGGTGACTGGCGAGTAGGACCTGTGGCAGTGGCAGTGGCAGTGGCAGAGGCAGTGGCAGTGGCAGTGGCAGTGGCAGTGGCAGAGGCAGAGGCAGAAGCAGAGGCAGGGGCAGGGGCGGAAGCAGAGGCAGAGGCGGAAGTGGTGGAAGAGGTAGAGGAGAAAGAGGAGGAAGAGGAGGAGGAGGTGGTGATGGGGATGAGGGGCTCGGAGGGCCAGGGCGGGGCGGATGTAGCAGGCATCGCAGGGACAACGGAGACTGCAACAAGGGATGGGGCAGCAGCCGGTGCAGCACCAGTATCACCACCACCACTACCAGATGTGGGTGTTTCTTCTGCTGCTGCGGCAGCAGGACGAGGAGGAGGAGTAGCATGAGAACCACCAGCGGCAGCAGCAGCAGCAGCGGAGGCAGAGGAGGGACGAGCGGCAGGCAGCGGGAGACGGGAGGGCGGAGTGAGAGCAACAGCATGGAGAGTCGGTTTGGGAGCTGATTTAGCTTTACGCACCACTCGACCTGCCTTCATCTGCTGCTCTCTGCTGCTTCCTGCCACCACTCCCCTCTCTCCTGCTGCCTTACCAGCCGCTGCTGCCACTCGTCTTCCCACACCACCCTGTTTCGATGCCCCTCCTGCCTCTGCCACCCCTGCTGACTGCCCCACAGCCCTGGCTCTGTTTCTGAAAACGGGTTTTCTAGCGGAAGGGGACATGGCAGTTGGAGAAGGAGCGGACGGAGAGAAAGCAGACGGGGAACGAGCAGATGGGGAAGGAGCAGAAGGGGAAGGAGCAGAAGACGAGGGGGAGGAAGGTGACAAGGGCACGGGCACAGGCATGGCCATTGGCATGGGTAGGGAACCAGTTTCCAACAGGGATTTAGAAACAGCCGCTTCTAGCAACGCTCGGGACGCAGAGACAGCTCTCCCTGTCAACGGGCCCCCATTCGATGCCTCGAGCACTGCTCTGGCGAGCCGGCTCGACATGGCCGCCGCTGCTGCCGTCACAACTGCTGTCGGTGCTCCCGTCGTGGGGGAGAGAAGAGCACCACCTGGATCGACCCCAGGTGCAAAGACACCTGCTGCTACTCCTCCTGGCACCGCTGCTCCTGCTGCTGCTTCTGCTGCAGATGATGGTAGTAACGATTTCCCTCCAGCGATTCTCGCTGCACCTCCACCCAGCCTTAACGCTCCTGGCACTCCTCCTGCCACTACCGCTGCAGCAGGCGTGGAAGGGGAGGAGGCAGCAGAGCCCACAGACGCCACTGCCACCATGGAATCTGCAACCGACGCAGGAGAGAGCGGCTGAGGATAGGGGACCGGGTAGGCGTCCATCCTGGCATTGGGAGCAGATACTGACTTGCCTAGACCACGCCCCCTGTTGCTGCCGCCGTGGGAAAACCGAGGCGGGTAACCCTCGTCGTCTCTAGATGCATCTCTAGATGCAAAGGAGCTGTCGTTACAGCCGTCTCGTGACCGGAACAAATCTCTACCCCCATCGTCCATTCCTACTGGTGCATCTCTGTGGTACTGGCCCTCTTCCCTTTGTCGGGCTCTTCCCTGGGGGCGGGAGGAGCTGCTGCTGCCATAATGACCACTCCTTCCCCGTGATTCGCAGTCACTAGTGCTGCTTTCCCCTCCCCCCTCCACCACACCCTCCAGCCTCTGCTCCTGTACCAATGCAGCCATTCCTTGCCTACCTGCCCGCCCACCACCTAACCCAACACTGATACCAGCAGCAGCAGCAGCACCACCACCACCACCGCTACCCTCACCAACACCACTAGCAAGTCGCCCTCCAGCACACTTTCCCTGCCCTTTCCCCCTCCCTTTCCCCACCCCGGTTCCTCTCCCCGACTCCGATCCCACAGCCCCTCCCACGCCACCCCTCAGCCCACGGCCTCCACCCATGAGCGCCATAGTCAGCCCCTTGGGCTCTGTATGGCACGTGCTGCTTCTCAGAAACTCCTTGGCCAGCCAGCTCGTGTTCAAGCTAGTAGGATCGGAGGATTGAGCCCGGTACAGCCCTGCCATACCGCTCCCCTCCCCCATCATTGCCTCCACTGAACCTGCTGTTGCTGCTGTGGTTTCTCGCAGACGTAGAGAGCTCTGCTGCATCCCTGCTGCTGGATCAAGTGTGTGTGCGCGAGGGATGGTTTCACGACCCACCGGCGCGTGAAGGGACGACGAGGCAGGCTGTGGGGGAGGCGCACCCACACAAGTTGCTGCGCCTGCGGCTGCAGCTGCAGCTGCTGGCCTTGCTGCATTACCATTTGCCTCACTGCTGCCCAACATGCCAGACTCTCGAGTCACAGCAGCGTCCCCTGCAGCACCAAACCCCCGCCCAGCAACTATCCTCATTCCAGCTTCACCCGCCACTGGTTCTCCCTTAAACCTAACCCGTGCCCCCGGACCTACTGCCGAACCTGCTCCCGAATCTGTCCCCACTGCTGCTGCAGCTGCTGCTGCGCCTCTCCTGGCCCTCAGAGCAGCTGCCTCCAGCCTGGAAAGCGAGCCTGACTTGGGGAAGGAGTCAGCAGCAGCAGCAGCACGCGACGCAAGCTGTGTCCTGGCACCACCACCACCACCACACGGCCCTGAGGGGCTGTGTACGAGTGGCGACGGCCCCTTGGGATTCCTCGCGTCCCTGGGGATGGAAATCCGTGCCATGGCGGGACCGGCATGACCCTTGGGGCTACCTTGGAAGGCACGGCCGGCATGTGGACTGTGAGGGCTACGGGGGCTGTGGGGGTTGAGACTAGAGCTGCTGATGGCGCGCATCACGTGCTCTGGCGGTGGCTGGTACAGGTCTCCCTGCTCTAACTCCCTCAGAGAGACAGGCCCTGACCCTGACGCACACGCAGGTTGAACAGTGGGCGCAGGAGGCTGGATTTCGCGCTTACCAGCTGCGGCAGCGTCCGCAGTAACACCACTGCTGTCATCAGTAACACCACCGTTTCCAGCAGCAGCAGCAGATTCTGTTTCGGGACTCTCATCCTGAAAGTGGAAATTATCCTCCTCATCCTCGTCCTCATCCTCATCCTCCTCGCTATCACCACCACCACCACCAACCCCGCCGTAACCCCCTTCTGTACCACCCTGTGGAATCGTGGGCAGCCCAACAACACTTTCTCCATGGCCTCCTGGGCGTTGCGTAGCTGTATCACCCCCATCCTCCACTGCCGGGACTGACCCAGCAACAGCAACAGCAGCCGCAGCAGCCGCAGCAGCAGAAGCAGCAGGCCCTACAGCCAGGCGATTACGCGGCACCACGCCTCCATTGGCTCTCTGCTTCTCTAGCAGCAACAGCAGCAGCTGCTGCTTCTGCTGCTTCTGCTGCTTCAAACTCACCTCACGCCGCTTCTCCAGCAGTCCCTTCTTTGCCTGCCCCAGCCCCTTCTGCACCGACTGTTTCCGCTTCTGCTGCTGCTGCAGCTCCAGTAACCGCGTCTGCTCCTGCTCCCGCCACTCCTGCTCCTCGCGTTCCCTCTCGCGCCATTGCTCCCTGTCCTCCGCACTCCACGCCTCTTTCCTCGCCTCCACCACCCGCCGTCGCTGACGACTCGTCGCCAACGCCTGGTTACCCTTATCGCCTCGCCGCTGGTTACCAACTCGCGTATTCGCCAGGCCAGGTTCGAAGGGCCCCGGTCCTGTGCGGTGGATCGCGGTGCTCGACGCGTCCAGCTGCTCCTGGCTGTACCCTTGCCGCGGACCCATATCCTCGACATTAGCAGCAGCATTACTAGCAGCGTTAGCAGTAGCAGTCGGACTAGGACCACCAGCAACAGCAGCAACGGAAGTAGCAGCAGTGGCGGCATACACTTGCGAAAGCCTCGGCTGGTTACTTTCGCGAAGCTCGCTTCCTCTGGAGGTATCCTCTGGGAAGTGGCGCTGGCTCTGCTGCTGAACTCGAAGCTCTCCCCTCGGCATGTGGCTGATCTACGGCGGAACAGCGCACGAGACGATCCAACGGACAATAAATAGACTTCCGTTGAATCGGACCACTCGTGAAGTCATTCATGGGTTTCCCGATACGCGCACGACGGAATACGGTCGCCTAAAAGAGCAAAGGTTGCAAGGCTGAGCGATGCGGTAAGAAGGGTTTTCGGCAGCAGGAGGAGCAACAGCGGCAGACGCAGCGCCGTACGCGTTTTTTTAACGTTACCATGGACATAGCGAAAGTTGCAATGCGAGCAAACAAGGCGGGAGGATACGAGAATCTCGACGGGAAGGAACGTGCAGACAGAAGGAAACAGGACGGGCGCGGGCAAAAGACGTTAACGCTTGGTGGAGGGAACCTCCTTGCTGAGTTGGTTTGGAGCGTACTAGCTTAGCTGACGCCGTATACCACTGTAAGACAGCAAAACCTGCTGCGATGAACAGAACAACAGGACGTTGATAAGAGGTGCTGCTTGGACTGTCGAGTCAAGAGAAAGGTATACTCTACTGTGTATTTAGTGGTGAGGTGAGCTGCGTGTTCGTTTCTGTTGGTTTCCTCATGGTTTAGCACGGTATGTGATTATTACCGCTATGTATCGCAGCTCATCGTGCAAAACCGTGATACACTGGGCTCTCGGCTTACGAGTTGTGTCAAGTGCTCGAATCATGTAAGACCTTGTGCACACTAGAACGGTTGGGAGGGAATCGAGCAGCAACGAACAACTTCACATGACACCGCGAGCATGTTACCCCAAATACTCGTTACAGGGCCAAACGCACTACAGCTCAACAAAATACCATGCCAGACTCCATTTCAGATCCATGTCAAAGAAACTGACAGAAACGGGTGTTGATTGGTTGCTCTAGAGAGGGAGAAATGGGTGGAGGAGCATTGCAGCAACGGATTGAACCATTCACCCATGTTCCCCGCTGAGCCATCTGTCCTGGCTTCCACTCCACATGCTTGATTCTGGTTTCGACAATCCCAGTGCGTGGAGTCCAGGAGACCACGTCGCCAAGCACGCATTCCTAACAATCCGCTCATAAGGTGAACCGATACGAAGAAAGCTCCCATGAAGCTTTTGCCGCAATCCAGAATCTCGTGTTGACGAAAACCTTCGCGACAGCAGTAGCGAGTATCGTGACTCGTGAGCCTCTCACCGCCACCACCCACCAATCCATGGCGGCCGCTTCCCTTCTCGACGAGATCGCGGACGAGCTGCAGGCGCTCGAGGCCGTTTATGGCGACGTCGTTCGCGTGCAGGCGGAGAATGCGGAAAAGTCGACCTCCGGACAGAACGAGGCAGCACCAGCGGGGGCGGGGATGGTGGTGAGGATCAGCGTGGCGTTGAAGCCGCAGACGGGGGAAGACGCGACGCAGCAGTTCGTGGAGGCTACTGCCGTGCTGCTCGTCACACCGCAGGTCGGCATCTCCATCTTCCTCATCCTCATCTTCTTCCTATTCCTCTGCACATACATACATCCTCATCTTGCCATGAGCATGGATCGTTTCTCTTGGGAGGGACTTTTGAGAATTTTCAAAAGGGACTTCCACTTGCCTTGCCTCCACCCACCCCACACCCGTTTCCTTCCCTCGACCGTCTCTTATCGTTTCTCGTTCTGTCAATGGTCGTCGAATCTCGGCCCTCCTTGCTCCAATACCATTCCTCCCTCCTCCCCTCCCACTGCAATGCAACCTACCCTGTCGGGTCTCGTCCGCTCAAACTCATTCCCCCCTATGCCTGCCCTCCCGCTGCAACCGGCCTCCCCCCACCAACCTATCCACTCTTCCCTTGATCTCCCCGCTCGCCGTGGCACCCTTCACCGCCCCGTCCCCTTCCCTGCACCCTCCGCTCCCCGCGCGCTCCCCGTCCCTGTCTGCGCCGCTTCCCCGCAGTACCCTCTGGCCCCTGCAGTGCTGCGCCTGAGTGCGGTGAAGGGCATGAGCGACGAGCGCGTGGCGGAGCTGCTTGCGCGCGCCAGGGCGTGGCTGGCGGAGGCGCTGGGGCCGGGGGAACCCATGCTGCTGGCCGCGTGCGAGGTATGAGACCTGAAGTGTTGGAGCTTGAGTAGGGGAGTGGGGTGGAGAGGGAAGGGAAGACGGGCGGTAGGGGAGTGGGGGAAAACAGGGGGAAGGAGCGGGGAAGAAGGGATGTGGGATTGGGGTGGGAGGGGAAAAGATAGGGGTAAAAGAGGAGGATTGTATGGCATGTGATGGTATAGTATGCAAGGTTGTGTAAGGCTATTGTTTGGTTGACGCAGGTTAGTGGAAGGTTGCGGGGGATCAGATAGGGAGGCCGTTTGGAGGATGAGGGGGTGGTTGTTGAGGGGGGTTGACGTGATGGTATGCTAGGGGATGGGGATGACATATGCATGGAAGCACTGTTTACTCACATGTCAGGTTGCTCCCTGTCTTTCTTGCTCTTTCTCTCTCCCTTCGATGTTTACCTTGTGTGGCAGCAAGTGAAGGAGCTTTTAACAGAGATGAACGAGCCTTCTGGGTGCTGCTGCTTCTGCCTCGATCCAATGACTTCCACTGCTGCTGCTGCTGCTGCTGCTTCGAACCATCTCCACGATGCCAGCAGCAGCGCCGGCTTCCCGCCACTGTTCAAGCTTGGAGTCTGCTTTCATTGCTTTCACTCGTGCGTGTCTTCACTCTGCTCTTGTTGCCGGAAAATGCCCTCGAGTGTGTGTAATCTCTGACTTGTCTGTGCTTTTGCAATGCTGCATGGTGTGCGGATCCTATCGTGTGGTGCAGACCCTGTTGTGTGGTGTGGCTTCTATTATTCGTGCAAGTCCTCCGTGGTCCTTTTCACCCTGGTTTCATTTCCCCACACCACAGTTTTGGTCGTCATGCCTCACCATCTATTGTGCTATCTCACGCTCCTCTGAACTCATGTGCTTGTTTCTTTCTCAGCTCACCTCCTCCCAGCCGTCTGCCCCTTCTCCCACGTTCTCCAGTCAGTGCATAAGGCAGTGGTGGCAGTGGGAGCTACAGCAGGCAAAGGCCAATGAAGCTGAAATGCGGAGATGCAACCCACACATTGCAGTTCCCAAGGTGAATACAGCCAGCCACGAGGGGACGCCCAAACCCAGCCCAACCCAGCCCAACCCAACGCAACCCATGCTTTTGGCCCTCGTTTCTCGCGCTTTTCTTTCCTGCCCTTTCTTCTCTTTCAAGCCTGACTCGTCGTGAAGGAGGTCAGCAGTCTCACAGTCCATACACTTCCTTTCACACATGCTCATTCCCCGTCACTGCAGTCAACTCTCTCCTCCGCTCTTTCCCTTGTGCCCCCATCCCAGCCATCCTTCAGCTGCCCTGTCTGCCGATCCACCCTGGCAGCAGACGACATAGCTCGCCTGGATACCCTCCTCGCCTCCTCTCCTCCCTCTCCCTCAACATCATCTCTCCCAACCTCCTTCACCTCGTCAGAATCTGAGTCGAGGCCCTCACTAGATACAGCAGCACCAGCAGCAGATGTCACAGAGGTTCTTTGTGCAGAGGATCAGGTTGAGAGGAGGAAGCAGTTTGAGGCTGTGTGGCAGCGGCAGCAGCAGTGGGGAGGTATCATAGAGCCTCGCTCTGTACTGGAGAGCAGCACAACAAGCCATGGAGGTCAACATTCGCGTCAACAGCAAAATCAAAGACATCTCCAGTCTTCACAACCTGATCCTTACCATTTTCCAAGTTCCCATGCTGTCGATGCATCCGCTGCTGTCTCGTCTTCTTCCTCTCCTCCCTCTTCTTCCTCTTCTTCCTTGCCTACTCCGGGTGGAGCTGCTGATGCTGCTGCAGCTTCTACAGTGGACTCTACGCGAGCAGGCTTAGGCGGTGCTGCGTCTGCACCAGCGGAAACATGCTCTGGTGGGCTAGTTCTCTTTCCAGCACTTCGCCTTGACCCCTCGCCTCCAGACAGCTTCTCTCGCAACCTGCCTGGCGCTGTATCTGCACCGCATAACGAGCCTGGGTCATTTCCCGGCTCAGGTGAAAACCCAGGTGGGGGTTTTGGTTCTGTTGGTCGTGGACAGGGTAGGTATGGGGAGGGAGGTAGAAGAGGGAGAGGGGGGAGAGAAGGACGGGGAGGTTGGAGAGGAGGGAGAGGAGGAAGGTCGCATGATGGGGGAGGGGGAGGAGGAGGAGGAGGAGGAGGAGGAGGAGGAGGAGGAGGAGGAGGAGGAGGAGGAGGAGGAGGAGGAGGAGGAGGAGGAGGAAGGTTGCACGGAGGGGGCAGAGGGGAGGGGAGAGGGCTGTGGAAAGGAGGAGTTGAGAGCGGAGGAAAGGAAGGGGGAGAACAGGAAGGGAGGGGACAGCAAGAGAGAGGCGGCCGACAGGGGCAAAGGGGAAGTCACTTTGAAGAGAGCAGTGGAAAGGTTGGGGAAGGAGGCAGCGGACGAGGATGTGGGGGCAGGAGAGGCTCGAGTAGGGGTCGAAGGGGAAATGAGGGGAGGCATGGCAGAGGCGGCAGACAGGGGGTGGTGAAAGGTGGGGAGTTTCGGGGAGGACGAGATGGTGAAAGCGGTGGAAGTGGGGGTAGGGATGTGGATGGGTATGGATCTGTGGTTGGGAATGGTGTTGTGGAAACAAGGAGTGCAGATGCGGCTATGGGTTGGAGGGGCATGCTGTAACGCGATGCGATGATGTTGGAAGTACTGGGACCATTTGAAGATTATGGGTTTGGAATGCTCAAGAGATGAGATGACACGGCCTGTTGTTGAATGTTGCATTTGACCGAGTGAGGAGCAACAGGGTCAGGCCCTCAGATTGGTTTGGGGGTACACTGAGGCCTCAGGGCAGTTTTTAGGAAATCAGAATCTGCCCTGAATTGTCAGGGCTGCACAGGGTGAGGTATCCTGAAATGTCAGTGCTACATTTGAGAGTATCCTGGCAGCTCAGTGCTACATTTCGTACAATCCTGTATATTTCGCGCGTGTTATGTTAGCGGGGATCGAAATGCTCTCCACATTCGAAGTGTGTAATTCTGGGGTGCAGCTGCAAGTGGCTGGCAGTGCAAGTCGCTGGCAGCTGCATGGTGCGAAAGTGTTACAGCACAGTACAAGGAGATGGCGAAGGTGGAGGTGAACATCGTGGGCCAAATTGGATGGAAAAGCTGGCGCAAAACAATATTGTAATAGATTTTGTTGTTCGGTGAGTCGAACATGAAGTGTTGTAGTGGGTAAAGCGAAAGATTGCTACGCAGTAGGTTGCTTGCTCGATTCCAACTGGCTCCATCATCCGAAGCGTTCGCCTTGTACACTTTTGGCCCCGAAACCCAGGAGATTTTTCGTACAGTACATCTCGCTTCAGGGCGAGATTCGACATTATCCTGAGTCGTCAGGGCTGAACCTACAGCGTTATCCTGAGTTTCAGTACGCAAAATAACCATTATACTGATTTTACAGGACAAGTAATTCCCTTATGCTGTTTTTTCAGGAGAAGCACACGACACCTATCCTGAATTCAGGAGAATCAGGATAAATTATCCTGATAACATAGGCCCTGAACAGGGTGAATGTGCGTCTTGAAGTTGGCTTTTATTGTTATGCATAACTCCCTGGAAGGAGCTGTACAATTTGATGTGCCACTCTGCTAATTGGTTTGCCTCCTCAGTGTTGCAGAAAAATTCCTCAGATCTGTTTGTGAAGAGTGAAAGGTGAAGGAATGTACGAGGGGATTTGATCCTGATCATTCAACCCTAAATCAGCTCAAGCTGCCATTATTCCCTATGTAATGTGGAAATAGCTGTTAGTTACGCTCTGCTCTTTATCCATTAGTGCACTTACCCAACCACGATCATCTACATGTTTCTAACGGTTATTTGTGAAGTCGTCGCGTCGCATTGCCAATGGGAATATCTCAGCAGAAACGGGTCGTCAAGCCTGACGACCCGTTGACGACTTGACGACATGCTGCCTTGGGCAGAAAAAAACTAAAACCCTATCAGATAGCATGCCATCCGAGGGAGACATCAAACCTAAATCCATGCCTCCCTGTGTTTAGGGTTGATGCCTCCCTGACCGGATGCATGCCCGAATGGGTTTTATTTTTTTTGCCCGCGGGCAGCGAGCTCCCCCGGGCGGACTCGCTTGTCCGCTGAGATATATTCGCTGGAACTTCAACTGAGCAGCAAAAGCTGCTGAGCTGTGTGGTCTTCTGTACACAAAAGTCAATTGGCCCCACCCTGTTGTATAAAGGAAAATATCGCTCCAGCAACACGAGGAACCGTTAACTACCATTCGTCTTCGCTGACAGCACCTCGAAGCAGGACACAACCACCAATTGAAACGAGCAAACAAGTGCTGCGTTGGTTGGTGCAGAAATGTCACGCCACGGGTTATGGGTCGGGCTGGTTACAATATCACCCCTCAAAAGGGCTGCCCTGCCAACTAACGTAGTAGAAAGTTTGTACAGCGGTCGATAAATTTGCCATTGCGGTTGGTATTCATTGTGCCAACACATGTTACAATACAGTACTACGATTGTGTACGTTCTTCCCGGTTTTATGAACTGACCTTCTAAGCCTGAAGGCAACTGGTGTTTCGTTTTTCCCTGGCCGTCACGTGTGTGATAGCCGTGCAGTTGAGAGAAGCTGCCTTATCAAGAATCTTCGTGATTGCGTGGCACATGTCAGCTTCCACCCGCCACGCAGTCACTGTCCCAAAAAACTTTTTACAAATTACTCCCTTGCAACCTACGAAATGCCTCCTGCGCAAGTTAAACTGTAGCTGAATCCCAAATTCAAAACCTCAACGGCTGATGAACATGTTAGGGTTCACATCGCCGTTTCGTGTCTGGTGGTGGGGGTGATAAAGGCGAGTGACGTGACATCCAAGCGCTAGTCTGAATTTCACATTCAGCAAGTAGAAGGAGGCTGGTGCCATCCTTCAGTTTCTTCATTGCATTCTGCAGCCTAGCTGGTCTGGGCCGCACTAAAATATCCAGGTTTGGAATGAATCAACGAGCCGGGGTAGTAAACGAAACAACACTGAAAATAAGGATAGATATGAGAAGCGTACGCGTACGCGTTTTGGTAGCGCCAGGAACAATATATCAACTTTTTTTCGGCTGACCGATTTGTTTTGGGTGTAGTAGTTTAGGTTCTCAGATCAACATCGTGTAAGTTTCCATATCAACGTCATTCCAATCCAACCAATGCAGCTCTGACGCCGCCACTGTCAAGCTTCCCCTCTTCCCAAGAGGAAAAAAAAAAAACACGAAATCCCGGTACAATGAAATCTCCATATTTTTTCCCGCCAAAAAATGTCATAGAGTACAAGAACTAAAGTTTTTCCACCAAGACTGCCAACCACAGCTGGCTGTGATTCTTGTCAACTCTCTTGATTTGGCTCACGAGCCAGCTTCCTTTAGAAGCACAACAGAACTGAAATTTTCGGATTCCAAACGCTCCCCGCCTCCGCCCTCCCCACCGTCAGACACCACTTATCTCAATTCTCCTGCGACTCCTCGAGTTCAACTATCTGGTCTGTCTGCTCGGCTCAGCCATTTTGAGGTTGCAAGGCGATTTCTCGCCTCAGCATCAACATGCGCGGAATTTGATAACACCACAACCACCCCCATTCAGCACGCCAGCTTGCTACTTCCCACTCACCCCCCGCGGTGAAACTTGGCGCCACTTGCATGTCATTCTTCCAAGAGTCGTCTGCAGCATTCGCTCACCTTGCCAGAAGACAGTGACAGTAGCAGCAGCTCCGACGAAGGTGGCTCATTTCCGGCTGCGGTAGTCAATATTATTCATCAGCTCCATCCAGCTCCTCCATCCCATCGGTCAACTCAATGGCGGCGCACCGCAAGCAAAAGCCACTCTATTTCCGCTTGAATATTACGTATCCGAAATAGTCACACGCGAAACGCGCCTGAGCCGCTACGTCCGGGCTAGCTTTCGGTCCAGCAATCATATTCGGCCAACCCAAGGAGCGCTGGGTTATTGTTTTCCTCTCTTAAATCTTCCACGCGGCGAAATTCGCACGAAGAACTGCGCAGTCGCGTCAGCTATACACCTCGGAGCGTTGCTCGCCGTTGAAACGGAGCACAGACAACCTCACCCACTCTGCCACCAAGAGTAAGGTCGAAAGCGCGTTCGAGTGTGAAGACTCATGGGCCGTCGTCGGTCACTTCGTCACCGCGCGTACATCCTGTCGCAGGGCCGCATGCGACTCGTGGAACCGGACAAATCGTCGCATGGCTCTTCGGAGCACGACAGGAACGACGGCGGCGCGCAAGTGCCGCTGCTGCCGCCTCCGTCAACTCCGTTCCCGTTCAACGTCACCGGCGACAACGGCACCAACTCGTTCAACGAAACGCGTGTTGGTTCCGGAAGCACATCAGGGAACAGCAGCAACAGTCGCGACCACCATAGCGACGACGGCGAAAACCACGACAAAGACACCGACCATCCGTATCCAAAACCCGATGGTGATGCTGACGGGCCGTCCACCAATTCCGATTCCAATTCTGGTTCCTCGTCGCCTCTGCGAGTCGTCTCCGAAGTCGCGCTGTCGGGAGTTATCGTCGTTCTCGTCGTCGTCATCATCTTCGTCGCGTTCCGTCGCATTCGCTGGCAAATCGCGCGAATCTCCGGCCGTCGCCGCCGTCGCAGCAACCCCGCGAACGGCGTCGGGCCGAACGGCGAACCCGGCGCCGCCGACGCCGCTGGCGCCCGATGCCCCACGTGCCGCGGACTGGACGACGACGCTATCGACACGGTGGGGCACGTGCTAGTTTATGGAAAGAACCCGCTTTGCTTAGGGGGGAGCGCGGAGGGATTGCACGGCGAGGGGAAGGGGAAGGCGGAGGTGGTGGACGTGGATCGGTGCTCCTGCGGCTCCTCGGTGAATGGGAGGGCGGACGAGGAGGCGGAGGGGGGGAAGGGAGTGGAGGGCGGTGATGCGGAGGAGGGTGCGGAAGAGATCGCGGAGGAGGGCGCGGAGGATGACGCGGAGGATGTCGCAGAGGATGTCGCAGAGGATGTCGCAGAGGATGTCGCAGAGGATGTCGCAGAGGATGTCGCAGAGGATATCGCAGAGGATATCGCAGAGGATGTCGCAGAGGATGTCGCAGAGGATGTCGCAGAGGATGTCGCAGAGGATGTCGCAGAGGATGTCGCAGAGGATGTCGCAGAGGATGTCGCAGAGGATGTCGCAGAGGATGTCGCAGAGGATGTCGCAGAGGATGTCGCAGAGGATGTCGCAGAGGATGTCGCTGAGGATGTCGCAGCGGATAACACAAAGGTTGCCGCGGAGGAACGGTTAGACGATGCTGTGGCTGTGTTTGTGAGCGAGGCGGACGAAGGGAAAAAAGAAGAGGACGAAGTAAGGGAAGGAGTGGAAGAAGCACGTGCCCTGGGTGATGGGAAGGAGGGACGGCTTGGCGAGGCAAAAGAGCACAGAGAAGGTAAGGCGGAAGCAGAAGAGGTTGACGTGAGCATAAGAGAGGAGATGGACGAGGGGAAGACAGAATTGCGGAACGAGCGGGAGTTGCGGGATGAGCGGGAGGAGCGGGAGGAGCGGAAGGAGCGGAAGGAGCGGAGGGAGCGGAGGGAGCGGAAGGAGCGGAAGCAGCGAAAGGAGCGGGAGGAACTGAAAGAAGGGAGGGAGCGGGAGGAGCGGGAGGAGCGGGAGGTGCGGGAGGAAGACGTATGGATCGAGGATCCAGCGCACTCCATCTCTATATCCGTGACAGTGGACGCCACGTGGCTCACGGAATGCGCCGTGTGCCTGTGCGAGTACGAGGAGGGCGACGTGCTGAGGTCCCTCGACTCCTGCCACCACATGTTCCACCAGGTATACTCCCGTCTCCCCACCACCACCCCCACCCCACCCTCCTTCTCCCGCTTTCCCTGTCGTCCCCGTAACCCCATTCACCTATTTCCAACGTTTCCCCTGTGCCCCGTCCCTCCGCTCCTCCTGTACCTCCCGTTCCGCGACTTTCTCTTCGCTACACCTTCTCGCTCTTTTCTCTCCCTCCCGCTCAACCCTCCGCCGTTCACCCCGCCCTCTCTGCATCGCCCTCCCCACCCAACCCTCCCCCCCCTCCAGACATGCATAGACGAGTGGCTGCACACCTGCGGGTCCTGCCCGCTCTGCCGCTTCTCCTTCACTGCCGAGCGCCCGCCGCCGCTCCTCGCCTCCACCTCAGCTGGTGCCGCCACCTCGCGCACCGAGACCATGAGCATGAGCGGCCCACTCACCACCGGAAGGGAGTCTTTCAGCGGGCCCATCAGCAGCAGCTTCAGCGGGCCAATCACCGCCGGCACGTTCAGCGGGCCTTTGAGCCGATCGATCAGCGACTCCCTGAGCGGCCCTCTAAGTGCGTCTGGAGCGCCTGTGTCCGGACGTACAGCCCGGCATGCGAGTGCAGCAGGACTGGCCGGTGCTCTTTCTGCTGGCGAGCACTCGGAGGAATCGCAGAGTGCTGCTGCCTCGTCGTCATATGGGTCGACAGCAACCCTATCTTCCTCCTATGCGTCCAATGGCTCCTGGACCTCAACTGCTACCTCTTCCGCCTCCGCCTCCGCCTCGGGCTCTTCGTCTACTACATGTTTCATGCCCTCTCTCGGCCATTCTCCTCGTGGGGCTGCCGCTGGTTCGCTTGCTGGGGTTCCCTTTGCATGGCTAGGCCCGCGTGGTGAGGCATCGGGATCAGCAATAACTGTGTCAGCGTCAAGTGGGGGCGAAGCAGGAGCAGTGGTTCTGGAAGCAGTGGCAGAGGATGGAGAGGAGGTGTCATCAGTGGCTTATCAGTCGGGGCCGCTTCCGTACACTGGGGTTGTGCACTCACAGGGGTATAGCGGACGGCGGAGATCAACCGATGGCGTGTTAGGATCAGCTGCTTCTGGAACGGCAGCAGGAGGAGCAGGGGGGGCAAGCAGAAGAGCAAGCGGAGGAACGCGAGAGGGAGCGGAGGAGCACGCACACAACGGGCACCACCGATGGGAGCACATGCGTGAAAGCCTGAAAGAGAGCATGAAATGGTTCATGATGAGTGACAGGGAGAGGGAGGGATGGGATGATGACGACACAGACTACTACTACTCATGGTGATGCGGTTATGAGTAGGGTTACCATTGCGGTTACCAGTGTGCTTGCCACTGGCACTGAGACAGTGAGTGTAAGCCTCCTGTGGGAGGTGGAATGGAAGAGTTGCTTCGTGCTTTTCTGTTTTGCGGCGCCTCGTAGTGAGAGGACTGCCTTGCCATGTTTCCATGCTTTTCGTAGCATGTATTCATGGTGTGCTGTTCTTGCTTGGTAGCAGTAGGTGTAGGTCTGTCTGTCAGGCATGCTTCTGGTGTGCCTTTCGGATGCAAATAAATTGTTCAATGCATTATGCAAGTGCTTTGACCACAGAAATGGTGGGTGGGAATTTGTTGGATTGGATTGGTGCAACATGCTCTGTTACTGTATTGGAAAACACATCAGGTGACCGATTCACTGGCGATGGCGGTACAGTATCACAGTATAGTCTGGAAGATAACGGAGGTGCATTAGTGTTAGTGGATCCGTCCATTCAGTGCGTGCACACATTTCATCAATGCCAATCAGGTACCTACCGGTACCATAAATGAATCAGGCTATGGTACATACGGTATTAGAGTCACGCACAACCAGTCACTGAGGGGGAGAGGCGAGAGCGGGTGCACAGCAGGCAGGCAGTGCGTGGAGGAGACGAAGCAGCACCGGTCCACAGGCACCCGACCCGAGCCTACACCGCCAGATGAAACCCTATGGAGTCGCGACGTGTTTTTCGAATTTATCAGAAACATAGTGCGAGGAGAAGAAGCAGCAGCAGCGGTCCGGACCACATGCTCCTGATCCTTCTGCACACGCGCTACCAGATGGATACATTATCGACGCTCCTCAAAAACAGTGTGTGGAGGAGAAGAAGCAGCAGCGGTCCACAGGAGCCTGATCCTCCTGCACACACTCCGCCAGGTGAAACCCTATCTTGGCCAGCCCTGTCACGTACTTCTCCCTCAGCCTCGCCCCGCCAGCAGCGTCGGGGAACGCGAGCAGGAGCTGGCAGATGGGAGGGGGGGCGCGCTTGACCACCCACTGCTGCACCGATGCTAGGTGCGCCCCGGTGAGGGACAGCTGGGAGTGGGGCATGGTAGGAGGGTAGGAGGCGGGAGGGGAGGAGAGGGAGGGGAGGAGAGGGAGGGGAGGAGGAGAGGAGAATGAACTTGGAGAATTCCCTAAGGAGCGTTCTTCACCACCCACTGCTGCACGGATGATAGGTGCGCCCCTGTGAGGGACAGCTGGGCGAGGGCGGCACGAGAGCAGGAGGTGGGAGGGGAGGAGAGGATAATTATTTTTGAGAAGTCCCAAAAGGGGCGTGCTTCACTACCCACTGCTGCACTGATGCTAGGTGCCCCCCGGTGAGGGTGGCAAGGCGGCAGGTGGGAGGAGAGGGTAGGGAGGAAGGGAGAAGGGAGGGCGTTAGAGGGAGAGGAGGAGGGGGGAGAAGAGAAGAGAGAGGAGGAGAGGAGAGAGAATGGTGTGATGTCGAAAGTGGAGGAAAATGGTAGAGCCAAGTGAAAAGCTGATGCATGCAGAAAAACGACGGAGCAGCAAGCCACGGAACACAGCAGGCAACAGCGCTGCTGCTCCTCCCCTCCAATGAACCGAGTTCTCCCTTGCTGCACGTCTGCTGTGAATTCCGGTACATGCTGAGCTAAGCTGCCCGTGCGAGTACATGTGCCAAGTATGTGAGGCTACGCATGTGAGGCTACCTTGAGAATGTCCATGGGAGATGTGGGCGAGGCAGGGAGGTGGCCCAGGTGCTTCACTGACAGGCCTGACACCGATTCCTCCATTGCACTTTCCCATGCCGTATCATCAGCACCCTCACTCATCGCAAACACCTGGCTGCACTTGAGAGCACGAATGTGCGAGAAGTAGCACAGAAGCATGCATGGATACATGCATGGATACATGCATGGATACATGCATGGATACATGCATGGATACATGCATTGATACATGCATGGATACATGCATTGATACATGCATGGATACATGCATTGATACATGCATTGATACATGCATTGATACATGCATGGATACATGCATTGATACATGCATTGATACATGCATGGATACATGCATGGATACATGCATGGATACATGCATGGATACATGCATGGATACATGCATTGATACATGCATTGATACATGCATGGATACATGCATGGATACATGCATGGATACATGCATGGATACATGCATGGATACATGCATTGATACATGCATGGATACATGCATTGATACATGCATGGATACATGCATTGATACATGCATGGATACATGCATTGATACATGCATGGATACATGCATTGATACATGCATGGATACATGCATTGATACATGCATGGATACATGCATTGATACATGCATGGATACATGCATTGATACATGCATTGATACATGCATGGATACATGCATTGATACATGCATGGATACATGCATTGATACATGCATGGATACATGCATTGATACATGCATGGATACATGCATTGATACATGCATTGATACATGCATGGATACATGCATTGATACATGCATGGATACATGCATTGATACATGCATGGATACATGCATTGATACATGCATGGATACATGCATTGATACATGCATGGATACATGCATGGATACATGCATTGATACATGCATGGATACATGCATTGATACATGCATGGATACATGCATTGATACATGCATGGATACATGCATTGATACATGCATGGATACATGCATTGATACATGCATGGATACATGCATTGATACATGCATGGATACATGCATTGATACATGCATGGATACATGCATTGATACATGCATGGATACATGCATTGATACATGCATGGATACATGCATTGATACATGCATTGATACATGCATGGATACATGCATTGATACATGCATGGATACATGCATTGATACATGCATGGATACATGCATTGATACATGCATGGATACATGCATTGATACATGCATTGATACATGCATGGATACATGCATTGATACATGCATGGATACATGCATGGATACATGCATTGATACATGCATGGATACATGCATTGATACATGCATGGATACATGCATTGATACATGCATGGATACATGCATTGATACATGCATGGATACATGCATTGATACATGCATGGATACATGCATTGATACATGCATGGATACATGCATTGATACATGCATGGATACATGCATTGATACATGCATGGATACATGCATTGATACATGCATGGATACATGCATTGATACATGCATTGATACATGCATGGATACATGCATTGATACATGCATGGATACATGCATTGATACATGCATGGATACATGCATTGATACATGCATGGATACATGCATTGATACATGCATGGATACATGCATTGATACATGCATTGATACATGCATGGATACATGCATTGATACATGCATGGATACATGCATGGATACATGCATTGATACATGCATGGATACATGCATTGATACATGCATGGATACATGCATTGATACATGCATGGATACATGCATTGATACATGCATGGATACATGCATTGATACATGCATTGATACATGCATGGATACATGCATTGATACATGCATTGATACATGCATGGATACATGCATTGATACATGCATGGATACATGCATTGATACATGCATGGATACATGCATTGATACATGCATGGATACATGCATTGATACATGCATGGATACATGCATTGATACATGCATGGATACATGCATTGATACATGCATGGATACATGCATTGATACATGCATGGATACATGCATTGATACATGCATGCACACGCACACAGGCGAGAAGGAAGGAATGCACGCACAAATACGAATGCATGGCCAGAGAGAGGAAAAAATAACACAGGAGAGGGGTGTGTGTGTGTGCAGGGATGAACGGGAGGCGAACAGGGTCGGAGGAGGGGGCACACACAGGGTGTGCTAATTGGAAGATGAAAGGCAGGCGCACAATCCCACCTCAAGCCCGCTCAAAAACACTATCAATTTAGCCTACCTCCTCTTCGCCCCTTGCTCCTCGCCCCTAGCCCCTAACCCCAGCCTCTCGCCCCCAGCCTGTAGCCGCTAGCCCCTGGCCTCTCGCCTCTTGTCCCTCACCCCTCACCTGGCGTTGCTGAGTGGTTGCAGGGCGGTGGGAAAGGAGCGGCCTAGGCCGCCCACCTTGACCATGGGCCCCAGGCTCATGCGCACACACATCGCCTCCGCTGCCGGCCCCTGCCATGCCTCCGCCACTCGAGTCATCTGCGGTGGCGGGAGGGCGACAGGGGGTGGAGGAGGGGGAGGATGGGGAGGGGGAGAGGGGGAGGGAAGAAGGGGGAGGGGAGAAGGGGAAGACAGGATGCAAGCAAACGTGTTTTGAAGATCCTGGACTAGATGCGATCTGCGGTAGATTAGAGTGACCTAGACCTGGGGAGATGCAAACGTGCCTAGACCGCAACTGTACCACACCGCACCACCGCACTGCAGCGCACCTTGGCGAAGCTCCGCGTGCATTCCTTGACGTCCGCCTGCACGGCCATGATGGCGCGGCGCATGGCACCCAGCTTCCAGGTGTGGTTCGAGTCGACTCAAACCCACACCTTTTGACTCGCCTCAAAAGACACGAGAGAACGAGAGGGAGGGAGAGACCGTACCTTGGCGAAGCTCCTGGTGCACTCCTTGACGCCCTCCTGTACAGGCATGATGATGGCACGTGTCGCAAGTGCGTGAGAGAAACCGCACCTGAGCGAAGCTCCGCGTGCACTCCTTGACGTCCTCTTGTACAGCCATGATGGCGCGGCGCATGGCGCCCAGCTTCTCGCCCACCGTCGCGTCAAAGACGGCCGTCCAGTTGCTGGCCCACGGCTCGCGCTCGTTGCACAGGTCGATGCCTCGCCCGTACAGCCGCTGGTTGCGCAGCGGCCGCCCGATGTGTGACATGGGCGCAAAGTAATGCAGCCGGTGCACGGTCTGAGGGGGGTGGGGGGGGGGGGGGGGGGGAAGGGGGAGGGAGGGGAGGGGGGGGGAAGGGGGCGAGGAAGGAGGAGATTTGAAGGGTTTAGAGGTGTAATGGAGGGGCGATGTGTGGCATGGGCGCGAAGTACTGCAGCCGGTGCACCGCCTGCGCGGGAGGGGGAGGCGGGGAGGGTGGGGGAGGGAGGAGGAGGGGGCGGGGAGAGGAAGGGGACAGAGAGAGGGAGGGGAGGGTGAAAGGATGGGGAGGGGAGGGGAACGAATGGGGTATGGGGACGGGGTAGGGGGAGGCGGAAAGGAATGCCGTAGGAAGGAGGAGGTTGGAATGGGCAAGGTGTAACAGAAGAGCGAAGAATGGCGTTTGGGTGAGGGCACGCACAGCTGGCACTTCAAACCGTTGAGTGGCCTCCAATTCATCGAGCAGGTCCACTCTAGTTTAGAGGCGCGGGCACGCTCATGCACGCCCAGGCACGCCCAGGCACGCCCACGGCTGTCGTTATTTACGATCGCGCAGACTGACCTCGTAGCCTGTGTGTGAGGGCACGCAGGGCCTGCACTTGGCGCCATTGAGCGGCGCGGAGGAGGAGAGGGCGGCGACGGGCATCATGCTGTGCGGATACACGCGGCGGCTCATCACACAGAAGGGCAGGTCCGCCCGCCCCAGGGACACGTTCGCCACCTCCAACTGCGCCTTGAAGCCGCTCTCCGAGTTGAGGTTCCTGGGGAGGTGAGATGGGGAAACATTGGTGGGGATGAGAGGTACATTGGTACAAGCGACGGAAGGTCTGCCCGCCCGCCCGCCCCAGGGACACGTTCGCCACCTGCAGCTGTGCCTTGAAGCCGCTCTCCGAATAGAGGTTCCTGGCGGGCGATGGGAAGCACTGGCGGGGATGATGAGGGGTGCATTGCATTGATACAAGCAGCAGGACCGCCCGCCCCGGGGATGAGAGTTTGCCCCCTCCAGCTGCGCCTTGAAACCGCTCTCTGAGTTGAGGTTCCTGGGAGGGAGGAGGGATTGGCGGGAACGAGAGGTGCACGGGCGGTGCATGGAAGGAAAGGAGTTAGTGGAATGGAAGCGTGGTGGGAGAGTGGTGGGAGCGTTGGGGAGAGTTGTGGAGGGATGGACGGACGGGGAAGAGGGCGAGGTGAAGAGTGAAGCTGGAAAGAGAGAGCATGTGATTCTTCATCTCACCCTCCCACACCCTGGTTCCGTTCTCCCCTGCATACACAATATCTCCCTCTCTCCCACCCTACCTCCTCCTCCCTTGCCCCCACTGCCGCCTAGTGCACCCTCCCACCTTTCCCCCTCCTATACCCTTCACCCCCTCCCGCTCCCGCTCCCCCTCCCCCTCGCCCTCCCCTTCTCCCTCCCCCTCCCCCTCCCCCTCCCCCTCCCCCTCCCCCTCCCCCCTCCCCCCCTCCCCTTCCCCCTCCCTCTCCCCCTTCCCCCTCCCCATCCCCATCCCATCTCCCTCCCCTTCCCTCTCCCCCTTCTACATCCCTCTCCCCCTTCCCCCTCCCTCTCCCCCCCCCCCCCTCCCCCTCCCCTTCCCCCTCCCCTCCCCATCCCCCCTCGCGGCGCGCACCTGTACCCCCGTCTCCCCAGGTCATGCAGCATGCTCAGGCGGTGCAGAGCAGGCGCCGAGGTCTCCCACGTGCCGGCGCCAAACCGGTCATTCAGCCCCATGCAGTCCGTGCCCCAGGGGATCGTGTACTTATCCACCTCAAAGTCCCTCAGCACAGGCGGAGGCTTCGCCCAAAACGTGTCCACGCGCGACCGAACCACCCAGTCGAACCGCATTGCATGCCTCGTTTCATACGCTTGTATGAGCGGCACGCAGCCCTCGACGAGGCGCAGGTACTGCAGCATGCCCTGGTCCCCCTGCGGGGAGTACTGATCGTGTAGCACCGTCCCCCCACCGTACTCCGTGCCGTTTACCCATGTGCTCGCGAACACTCGCACGCCTGCAAGCCACTTCTTCTTGGCCCATACAGCGCTCCAGAGCTTGAAGGCGTTTTCGTCAAGGGGCGAGTGGAGGAAGAGGGATGGCGAGGGGAGTGTGGGGAGGAGGCGCGTGAGGATGGACGGCCAGGTGAGCTCGAAGTCGCGCGCGCCGCCCACCAGGCAGAGCGCCGTGCGCCACTTGCCGGGGGGCTTTGAGAGCACCTGCCGCGGATGGGGGTTGCGCGGTGCGGGTGGGAAGTGGGGGGAAGGAGGGCTTAGTGTGGGGCGGGGTGGGGAGGGGGAGGAGAGGGGTGGTGGGGGTAAGAGAGGGAGAGAGAGAGAGTACGGAGGGAGCATGGATGAGGCAGCACAGGAGCAACGCAGCTCACCTGTTGCCGTGCTGCTTGGTCACCAGCCCACACTGGACGAGCCTCTTGCTCCCGCTCCTCCCCTTCCCGCTCCTCATTCCCACTCTGATTCTTCGCCCCTCCCCTCTTCTTGCCTACCACCCCTCGGCCCTTCGATGCTTCGGACTCCTTCTCCCCTTCTCCCCTCTCTCCTTCTCCTCCCCTCTCTTCCCCTCCTCTTCTCACCCCCTCTCCTCCCGACTCTGCCTCGCTCTCGTTCTCGTCACGTCCCCCGCCCTCGCCTGTAACATGACCTCCAATGAGCCCCTTGGTTTCCTCTCGTGAAGCCACCTCTTTCACCCTCGCGTCTGTCACGCCTCTCTTGTTGCTGTTACTGCTGCTGCCGCTGCTGGTACCGTTGTCACGGCTGCCATTACCGTTACCGTCGCTGCTCCTGCGGACGCCTAGTAGAATTAGCAAGTCCACTTCCTGTCGTGGCATACGGGGGTCGGAGAGCCAAGCAGAGAGGAAAAAGGGATGGATAGAAAGATGAAAGAAAGAAGAACCTTCAACTGCGGAAAAACATGGGAACTGTTACTAGCGAGTATGACGACAGCTGGAGGCCAGAGACGGACACGAAGCTGCCAATAACGAGGACAATTGGCACGAGGGGCTGGAGTCTCTGCTGCAACTTTCCATTGTCGCACAGCGCACCTGATTGTCGCGCAGCGCACCTGATTGTTGCGGTTCGCGAGGAAGGGCACGAGGAGGAGAGCTGTGGCGAGGAGCGCGAGAAAGAGAAGCACGTATAGGGGCGATCGTCGACGGCACGCGGCTTGCGCCATACCTTCCCCGCGCCGGCCGCTCCAGCATTCCGCGATCACACCAGCCGCCGGCGCGCATACGAACGCTCAGAGCGACGTGGCAGCTGACACCGCGCCAAAGAAAAAAACAATGTTGGACGTATATCACGGTCGAGACCGATCTGTCATGTACACGGCAGACGTGGAATTCACTGATGTGTCACTAAAGGTAAGCTGTCCTATTCTGCCTGATCCACATTACATTACGCTGACGCAGATTCTCGCGTTTCTAGACCAGAAGATGCTTTGGGATGGCTGTTGAAATGGCAGCTTCGTTGCATGGAAGTTGGAACTTGAACTCGAATGGGAGGCGAGGAGGAACATCTGGTGACGGTTGGTTCTGCCTGCCAAATCAAACCGACCGAGGCAGACTTCCCCATTTGGTGGTTGGTAAAGCTGGACCCACTTCGTTGGGGAGTGGGTAACAAGTTCGTTAAACTCGTTAAAGTAATTCGCCTCAACTGTAGGTGTCGGTTCCTACCTACCCATCATGCATGAGAGTGAACATTTTCACCCTGTTTCTCGCCATAGTGGATTCCGGTATAGTGGAGTCAAGATGGGAAAGGCATGGTTAAAGGTGGTTAGATAACGTTTCGGTATGGTTCAATTGGGCAATCTAACAAAACAAGACTGCAGGCCAGTTCCGCACAGTTCAGTGTAGCGAGAAACAGGGTGTATAGTGAAAACAAGCAAACGGCAACACGGTCCATGCGAGCTAGCTAGTGCGACGCTACCAGCGACGTTCGGGCTAGTCCCAACGCGTAGGCTAACTCGGCCAAGTCTAGCTGTGCGAGGTTGGGCAAAAGTGACGCGCGAAGGTGGCGAAACACCGTTAGCAGTAATGGGCGAAGAAATGGCTGGTCTGGTACGCGTTGCTGAGGTGCTCGGTAAGAAATGCCGAAAAAAAACTCCTTACACTACACCTGACGCTCACCAAATTCAATATCACCAATCTCACACCCCCCTAGACATAGATTGGGCTGGTATGGTTGGGGTGTCAGTTGTGGGTTTGACAGTGACGTGACTACACGTGCTGACCTCAAGATTTTGGGTCAAACAGTGACAGGACAGAGTGCACAGTCAACAATTACAACGCACTTGCTACGTATCGGGACTTGTTTGTGATTTCTGTTCGCCAGGTCAGGGTGTCGCGTAAGCTCGGTGCCCTTCACTTTACACGTCAAGCTGGGCGTTAGGCACATGCCAGTGTGAAATAGACAAAACTTAAAGCTCCGACCCCGCCCGAACGCTGGTGAAATTGGCGAGCGTCAGGTGTACCCCCTTCCCCAAGAAGCCCCTCCACTATGCGAGTGCGTGTATATCACGGAATCCCCGGCTTCGCATATACATTTGGAGGACAGGGTTGTTTTTTATGCTGCCCTAGGGCACCCAACTATCTTCCGTGGAGGTGCGGCCTTTCCAGCGGACGAGGATTTCGATCCTCCGATATCCTTAGGGGCAGTGAATCCGATGGCTTGGGATTTCTCAGGGTTGACGATGGGCTCCGTTGGAGGACACGTCATCGAGGGTGGTCGATGTTGTGGCAGTTGGCTTGTGGTTGGGATGTATGGTCAAAGGAGACTGACGGGGAACGACGAGCCGATGTACCAGTCCGCGTAACGGCATATGGGCAGTGATGGACGTAATCACGTGGCTGATTTGGAACGGGCCACAGTAGCGTGAGCGTAATTTTGGCAAAACGGGCAGGCGTAAGTTTTGAGTGTCGAGCATGATGTAGTCTCCTTACTGGTACGTAACTGGGCGGCGGTAAAGATCGGCATTCCTTTCAGCGATAACATTTGCTTTTGATAGCCTTCAAAAGTTTGGTGAACTGTTGCGCTCGTAGTATCTAGTTGTCCATGCTCAACGTCATGGGCACGGTGGGGTTCTGCTCAAAGTTCAGGTAGAACGGCGACAGTTGCGTCGTTGCTGACATGGCGTTGTTGTAGGCGGACTCAATCAGTGGCAACTGTTGCTCCGAGGTTGCCGGGTTGTCACACGTTGCGCGAATCAGCTGCTCCATGGTCTGGTTCGTTCTCTCGGTATATCCGTCGATCTCGGGTTGGTAGGACGAGCTGAACTGTAGCCGGGTCCCGAACTGCTCCCAGAGGTTTTTCTAGAAGTTGATGGTGAATTTCGTATCCATGTCGCTAATTTTGGCGGCTGGTTTCCAGTGCAGGCGAACGACGGATGCAATGAACAGGCGTGCGGTTTCTTCGGCCGAGATCGATTTCTTGCATGCATCGAATTGAGCCATCTTTGTCAGCCATTCGACGAGACCATTACCACATTGTTACCACCGAGGCTTACAGGTAACCCCGTGACAAAGTCCTTTGTTATTTGCTGCCAGGTGCGTTCGGGTGGGGGAATCGGCTGCAGTTGACCCGTCTTTTTCTGCGAACTCTTCATCACTTGGCACGTGGGGCACGATCCTACGTGGTGCTGTACGTCGGTCAAAAGCTCCGCCCAGCAGTAATACCCAGCAGTTGCTGTCACGTTTTTTCTAACCCATAGTGGCCCGGGGTAATCCCGTCGTGTACCTCTTGCAGTAGTAGTTCCCGTAGCAAAGAGTATGCCAGTACCCAGATGCGGTCGGTGCCAGTCTTAACGTAATATCAAGTGCTGCTTGTTATTACCAGTGGTGAAAAAATGGGTTGGTGTCGCAGCCGTGGTTGAATAGTTCGGTCAGTAGCGGGTTTGATTGGGCGAGTAGGATGGATGGTGTGCAGTTGGGCAGTAGGGCGGTGGAGGGAGTCGGCGATATTCGATGCACGTTTTTTGTACGTTACGTATTGTGAAAGTTGGACTCCAGATATCTTTCGTGAGTCGAGCTTTGGTTGGGCGCGAATGTACTGTAGCTAGCGATGGTTTGTCCGTACTGTTACGACTGCTCCTATCAGATAGCACCGCCACACCTTGAACGTGTGCACGATGGCGAGCATCTCGCGGTCGTGTATCGGGTAGTTGCGCTCGAGGGGGGGGGGGGGGGGGGATTTTATAGGACTTGTGATTGGCTGAAGGCCGTTCTCGAATTCCTGCAATAGTACGGCTCCGACGTCGATGTCGCTTGCGTCGGTGACGAGCTCGAACGGACGATGAGATCAGTGATGTGCATAACAGGTGGCGAGCACACAATTTGTTGAAGGGCATAAAATGCAACATGTTTTTTTCTCCCCCCATGTGTACTCAACCCCCTTCCTTAGAAGGTCAGTCAGTGTGGCAGTCACCTTCGCCACGTCTACGACGAATCGGCGCACGGAGTTGACGAACCCCAAAAAAAATTGTTGTTCGGTCAGGTTGGTCGGCTGTTTCCAGGCATAAATAGTCGCAATTCGTTTCGAATCTATTTCCACGCCGTTGGCCAAAATGATGTGGCCCATAAGTTATAGTTTGTCCTATAAATATCACACTTAGAAGCCATGGACAGTAGTCGGCTCTCAGCTAAAATCTTAAAAACAACTTCGATGTCCTGTAAGTGATGTGCTCTGTCGGAGTTATATATCAGTATATCGTCTAAGTAGTGTGAGAAGGATTGACGAAAGAATGGATGAACTAGAAAATGAGATGGGTACAAATAGAAAACACATAAGTGTTGTACCCTCTAAGAGCTACCCCACTACAGCCTAAATAGACCATAGCAGATATAAGTTTGACACACCCCCATAGGCAAAGTGGGGGAGAACAAGAGGTCACAAGACCAGTCAAGAAAAGCAAAGCAAGCTCAGGGTGGATCACAAAGTCACCACACAGTCTGAGCACAAGCAAAGGGCCATAAGGCCAGTTCACATGCAGAGTTATATAAAGGAAAGCAAGCAGTACAGTGAACACAACCTAGCAAGTGTAAGCATGCAGGTATAAGTATATAGAGTACAGGACAAGCAGAGTCAAGAAGTCAACAAGTGAGGCACAGTAGGTACAAGGCCTAACACAGTACAGAAACGCTGATGATCACAAGGCTGAAGTGCCTTAGTGAAAACATCAGCAGTGTTGGCCTGAGAGGCCACGTAAGCAAGACGAAGCTGGCCACGCTGCTGCAACTCTCGAGCAAGGAAGTAGCGCAGAGCAATGTGTTTTGTTCTGTGCTCCAGTCTGTGCTCTTGACACAAGGCCAGCATGGCCTTGTTGTCGACATACAGAACTGGAGGAGAAAGAGGCGCCTCTCCCAAGTCGCTCAGCAGGTAGGTGAGCCAGCGAAGCTCCTGTGCAGCCATGGCCCCAGCGTAGATCTCAGCCTCACAACTGGAGCTGAGAACAGAAGAAGAGCGGATAGACCGCCACGAGACAGAACCGGAGCCAAGGCTGAAGGTGTAACCCTGTGACGACCGCTGCGTAGCCAAGTCGTCAACCCAGGAGGCGTCAGCGTGACCAGTGAGGACAACTCGAGCCCGTCCTCCCAGCACGAGCCCCATGCCCGATGTACTGCACAAGTATCGCAACACCCTCTTCGCAGCATCCCAGTGCACCTTTCGGTGCCTGCCGGGAGCCACGTAGCGAGCCAGAAGGCTGAGAGGGTATGCGAGGTCAGGTCGTGTGCAAGTCATCAGGTACATGAGGCAGCCCACAAGCTCTGGATACGGGCCACTCGGCTCTACGGACTCGTCCGAAGGTGGAGCTGAGAGCGAGTGACCGGTAGGCAGAGGAGTGGACTGTGGCGAGGAGTAGGTGAAGCCGAAGCGCTGAAGGACCTGCTGCACCATGTGTGACTGAGTCAAGGTAATGGTGCGCTGTGCTCTGTCCCGGGTGATCCGCAAGCCAAGATAGCTTGTGAGCTCACCCAGGTCTGTGCACGTGTGTCTCTTCTGCAGCTCGGACTTCACGTGGGCGAGTGCCTCCGTGTCAGCAGTAGCAAAGACAAGGTCGTCTACGTACACAAGAACGTAGAACGGCGGCAGAGTAGCGTCAGTGCGTAGAAACAGAGAAGGGTCAGCAGTGGAAGGAGCAAAGCCAAGAGCAGCAAGAGTCGTCCTGAGCGTGTCGTGCCACTCACGGGGCGCCTGGCGGAGACCGTAGACTGGCCGCCGGAGGCTCCACTTGGTACCA